GGGCTTAAGTGGAGAGCAAATGCTTTGAGAATGATGAGGGCAATGAATGTACAAATGTGCTTTACACAATTGATGTCTGTATGGATTGTGATGAGTCGTATGAGCCCCCAATAAAATGATTAAAAAAAACTCCCAACCACGTGTGTGGCTGCGCATCAGCACCTCGGGTGTTACTCAGTTTTACTGTTGCTGTTGTTAGCGTATCAACAACGCAACTTTTGCTAAAGAACTTATTAAAACTGTCAGACTTTTTTTTCTACTTTAAAACTACATTAATACATTTAAATGTACTAGTTTTTGGAACATCTTCGTTCAGGCCAAGCTTCCCAGCCCCATCAAGAAAGCTGCTGGGAGCATGTGGGGCTCCAGCATTGACTTACTAAAGCATGGCCTGTGTCTCTTCAATATGCGGTTGCTGTGTGTGCCTTTGGGTCTACTCCAGGTCCCAGTGACCCTGCGAGGTACAGTTCCCCAGGATGCTGTCTCACGAGCAGGTGATCAGATCATTTAGCCTCATCTTTCTCCCACGGGGTGCCAGGTAGGATTGAACTGATGACTTTGTAGTTAGCAGCCCAAAGTTTACCTGACAATGCCACCAGGGCTCCTTCTCTACATTAGGGTGGCATTTAATTATTTCAGGATGGATATTGCTACTTCTAGTCACAACATCATTTGGGCAAAGTGATGATGTTCTTTGTATTTCTTTCAAGATCAGTACATGCAGCCCACAGGGCACAGGTTGCCCAGTTGGTACCACAGTGCTTTGGGCATTTTGTTCTTGTCAAAAGGAAGAATTGGTATACTGTCAATGCCAGGTAATTGGAGAACATATGAATTAATATTTATTAATAACACCTCTTTGTAATTAATAACTTTTTGTCTCTAGGAAAATTAACAAACTTTAGTCTCTCTTAATGTGGGTTTTCTTTTGTAATTGAGGTGTTACTGCCTAAAATGCAACGGACACAGAGAGGAACTTAAACTTACCTTGACTGATTCAAGGCTAAAGACTTAGTCACAGAAACAGTAAAATAATTTCTGGTGATTTTTTTTTTAGTATGTTGCTAAACAAACTAATTTATAAGTAGCAGAATAAGGTCCAATAGCCAATAGGAGGTAGAACTACTTTGATTTGCTGCATGACAAAAATGACAGACATTGCCCCCAAAGTCTTGTTTCCATTTGACCTCATGGCAGCTTGTGTGTTTGGACCTCAGTTTCCAAGTCCCCAGAATTAGATCTGGGCCACATGATTTCATACATTCTTCTAGCCTTCACAGTGCTGCCTAGAATGTGTGAAACGACTCGCTCGCTGCCGTTCCTTGTCCACGGTGCATCCGCACTCAGGTCTCTGCTGCCAAGGGCTGGGAAATCAAGAGGAGCGACTCGGGAGTGAGGACCACTGGCTGTTGAGGATTCTTGAATACTTTCTCCGATACATGGACGTTTAAGCGTCCTTCTCATTCCTGATACATTTGATAAATCAAAACCTTAGTTTTATCTTCTCCGGTTCTGAAAAATTTGAGGGTCACTCTTCTAGAGATGGCCACCTTGAGGTTGGCAAGAAAACTGATCTGACCAGGTCAGTGATCAATCATGAGAAAGTGGCTTTTAGAGAAGCTTGCCTGGGAGTTTACTGAATTTAAATCTGACCTTAAACTTTCTTTGACTTTAAAATACAACCCCCCGCCTCCCCGCAAAAAAAAAAAAAACCCAGAAAAAAAATTTTTTTTTAAAAACAACCCTTAGAAAATACTTGAAGCATAAATAAAAATCAGGATACCGTATATACTCGAGTATAAGCTGACCCGAATATCAGCCGAGGCACCTAATTTTACCTCAAAAACTGTATTAAAAATGTGCTGAGAAACTCGAGTCATACATAAGTATATGTGGTACTCTGAATTTGGCCGTTAGTTTTGATGACATATCAAACTATCAAATTTGAAAATGTAGAATATGAATCATTTAAAACTTAAGATTCAAAGAATGTGCACTTAAAAGTATCTTGAGCTCACTAAGAAATTACCTAACTAATAGTTACTTATAACAAGAAAGCTTTTAAAATATACCTGGGGCACAGTGACTAAACAATATTCATAGGCTAAAACGCTGATGGGTTTGTCTTTTGGTATTTTACGGTAAGGTCCTCCAGGCTGCAAATGCTCATTATTTACTGAGGACAATAGGACCACTTAACCCCTCTGCCTATGACCCAGGTTCAGTTCCATGTTGAGATGGTGCATGTTCTAGCTGAGCGCCCCAGCTTTCAAATATTGCCTCCCTCTCAGTGCAGGGGCTTGTCTAGCCATAAGAATTGCCTTCTTTGTTTTGCCATGTGGAATATGTCTGAGATTAGAACTTCAACTTGCCTTGCCTAATATTTGTCAAGGGCTCAGATGTAGACAGTGTATTTATGGAGCACTGCTTGACAGGAATGCCATCTACTCCAGTTGTCAGTGAGCTGTGCAGAGTAAATAAGAGCTACATATCCAGACCGAAGAATTGTTTTAACCTTTTGTAACATTGCTTTTATGTGACTGAACATGGGCACTTTGTCACTGACACAAGAATTGCAGTGTTTACCAAGAACAGCCCCCCACCTTATAGGTTACTGTGTTTATTGTAAGTGTATTGTGGATGAATAATTCAGTCTAGGACACTATGTTTTTGTTGTTTTTTAATTAGACCTCATGGGGCATGCTTGTACTACTCCTGAAAAACTGAGTTGTTTTTATCTTATGGAAATTTAATTTTGTAGCTGGCTGGATAATCGAACTAATTAATTCTATCTCTTTGTATTGGTAATTTAGAAACTCAACCAATTTTATTACCCACTGCTCAGTAAGTGTTTTGGGACTAGGGAGACATGTTTTCAGTAGCAAGCTATCCTCATTTTATTTCCTGTTCACTCTAATTTTTCTGCCTTGACTTTAATGCATCTTTTGTTTTTTTTGTCTCAAAAATTTTTGAGGGGTTGAAGTCAAATTTAAATAACAAATGTTAGAACAGTGATAAGGCTAGAAGGATGGGAGGAGGGGAAAGCAATGCTGATAGGTTGTTATAGTGTGTTAGACAGGGTTATCTAGAGATAAAACCAGATTGCTAATAATTTTGTATATAAATTTATATATATATATAGATAACACAAGAAATAAATAGTTAAATTAACTTAATTATAAATTAAGTTATACAGATAGGTATATAACACAAGAAATAAAGTTAAATTATAAAGCAGTACAAATGGCTCAGTATAATTGAAATGTGTTAGAGAGTTGTGAGACACTGGCAGTCCTTCAAGTCTTGAGGGCCGCAAGGTGGTCCTCTGTAGAGAGATTCAGGCTATCCTGCCACAGGCAGCAAACAGCAAGGCAGGTCACCAACAGTCAGCCAGGTCACCAACAGTCAGTCCCCAGCCCAAGAGATGTAAATTCCAATCCTGTGGCGAAGCAAGTCTTAAAGGGACCTCAAATTACAGTGACACAGTCTACGGGTTACGTGTCCCATGGGTAGTGTAGCTTGCAAATTGAGGCACAGAACAAGCAAGGCATCCGCACACTGGTCCGATGATCAAAGAGCGAGAGACAGGAAAGGCGAGGCTTGCCGAGCCATTTATCTCTCCACCCTTCAATTAATCCCACATGTGTTTATTGGCCAGGCTGGCACAATAAACTAACTACCTCATATAGGGTTAGGTTTGACTTTTGTTTTTAACAGTAGAAGTCACATGACCATACAAGGAGGCTTCAAAAAGGTTTTGGGAAAACGGAATGAAAAGATAATGGGATTTTCACATGAGCTATTTGAAGCCCCTCGATGATGCATGTTTCAATTAAAAAGTATTGAATGGCAGGATCATAATCACATTTTGGGCCCCAGAACATTTAGAGGGAGACGCCTGTGAGCAACTTGTTGAATATTTTATTTTTGTGTTTAGATGACGAAGACATCGTAACAATTTTGTATTGAGATTACCTTGTACAGTTCCTCGCTTAAAGGACCTTACTTACTTTAGCATTCAGAAACTGCAGCCTGGATTTGTCCCACTCCCACCTGGCACAGGTGTTGTTCAGAAGCATGCGTGCTTCCTTGCTGTGTCTTTGTATTGAGGGCTCTCTTCCCTGGGAGGGGCTTCCTTCCCCAGCTATTGAGTCTGCGCACCTGGGAGCCGTCACGTGGACACGTCTGTGTCTCTCACAGCGTCTCCAGGTGGACTCAGTCCCTTCCAGCAGCGTGGATGCTAGCTTATTACTGAGTTTTGTTCATGGATAAGTCTAGAAGACGATATAGTGTCTGAGTTACGTGAGAGCCCATTGGGTTTTAGATGATCGCCTCGCATCAGAGTAACTGGCTGGTGGACGGCCTGGTTCTTGTTACCCACCCAACGCTTCTTTCCGATTCCTAGGTCCTTTTTGTGCCAGATGCCAACTGCCCTTCCAGTACCTTAAGGTTGTCATCGTCCAACGCTGGCGCTGCTATATCTCCATCCTCCTCAGATGCAGAATATGATAAATTGCCCGTATGTATGCCTTTCATGCACTGGAGTTCATATTTATCAAAAGGATGTTTTGTGAGTTACTGATTCTACGTGTGATTTTTCATAAGTTACATCTAAACATTTCCCCAAATAGATAGGTTAAGAAATGTGCCATTAGTCTATAGAACACAAACACCCTAGCCAAGACCAGTCTGTTCACACTTGATCTCTTGAAGTCAGATATGCATGGCTTGATAAAAAGTATTAAATTAAATGCTTGGTTGACTGAGTGTTAAAATTCTAGAGAATTTTAATCATGAGTTGGATATGAACTATGTCCTCGTAGCTTACAAGGGGACTTCAAAAAGTTCAGGGGAAAAATCCATCATCTTTTTATTCCATTTTTCCATGAACTTTTTGTAAGTATTTTCTAAATATATGTATTGAGTCATATAGCGTTAGAGTGGTATATGTTAGTATAGTATTATTTGGGTACTTTTCTGCATTTCTGATATTTTTTAAAAACAAATTTTTTTATGTTCTGGTTAAATAGAAAACATGACTTACAGGGCACTTATGAGGCATATTTTCTATAATTAATTTGTTTGGAAAAGCTGCTTGCATTTACTTTGGAAATTTTTGTCTTCTAAAGGATGCTGACTTAGCAAGAAAGGCCTTAAAACCGATTGAAAGAGTCTTATCATCTACATCCGAAGAAGATGAGCCAGGCATTGTAAAATTTTTAAAAATGAATTGTCGCTACTTCACTGATGGAAAGGTATATAGTCATGCCGTCTGTCACCTTTTCTGGGAATCCATGGAAATTAAATGTGGCTCCAAATTACTGGAAGGGCTGTGACATTAAATATCTTAATCAAAGTTTCACCTTCAGATTTGATGAGTATTCATTAATCTGCCATGGCCGGATGCCTGACATTTTACATATTGAGGCAATGTGATCACTGAGTGGAAATGTGAGCCTTGGTGACCTTGGGCATCCTTTATCGTTCAGTTCTTGACCTGTCAGTTGTAAGGGAGATTGTACCCACATGTTCCCAGGCAGTTCAGGAGTCAGACGCAGGAGCTGAGTTGCAGCTCTTTCACCCACCAGCTCTGAGACCACAGGCAGGGTGTTGATATTTTCTCAGCTTCCATTTCTCCTCAGTTAAAAAACAAACAATTATAAACTGTAACTAACGTGGTATGTTAATTGAAAGAGATAATTCATCTAAAGAGCTAAACACCTAACTGGAAAATGGTAAGTTTTCCCTCCCCCCGTGTTCGCTGCTGCTAGTGGTCCTGGCATCACAGTTAACATCAGCTGTGTCATGCTATTTAGATTTTTGGTTATGACTTTAAAAAGAACAGATGAGCCTTTCAAGGAGGGGTTACATTGTATAAATGAATTTCTGTGCTCATAATAGAGAGTTCACGTCAGATACAGGGTAATAGAAAAATAAGTTATTGAAATGGATTTATGACTTTTGCGCCCCCAAAAAAGTAAAACCTGAAATGCAAAACTTCCTGCAAAAATGATCAATGAACTCATTAAGAGTGCAAGGTCATTTATTTACTAAAACGGAGTCATCTGTATCCTGCTGTCTCTGGTAAATTATATCTCCATGGACACCCCAAGATCTATGTAATGGATCCAGACCAAACTTCAGACTTTTAAACTTCCATGGAGTGCCTGATTTTTTGCCTTTAACCTCCATAGATGACTGTGGGCTGCCATCAAGTTGGCTGCATCTCGTAGTGACCTCATGTTTATAACAGAACGAAACGTTGTGCAGGTCTACACGAGCCTCTGCCTCACCACCATGTGCACGTCCATCTCTGCAGCACTGTTGCCAATCTTCCCAACGGTCTCCGTGCCCATGTGGCCTTCGTCACCCCACAGGAGGCCCTCCCCCAGCAAGTGAGCCCTCCGATGGCGTCCACAGCAAGCAGTTAGACAGGGTTCTGTTGTGATCCCTAAGGTTTCCATTCACTGATTTCCGAAGTAGAAGTAGATCACCAAATCTTTTTCATTTGTCTTCGTCTGAAAGCTCGGCTGAATTCTGTCCACCATGGGGGACCCTGTGGGGCGTGGTGGCAGGGGGCATAGTTTCTGGCTTCATAGCAACATTCAAGCCACCACAGTATGTCAAATGGACAGACAGGTGAATATCCATTGTTTGGCTCTATGAACTCTTGACTGGATGTGAGCAATTTAAACATTTCGGACAAGAAGATCAGGACCTTCGTTTGGCACCGTAACTCAAAGACAGCTGTTTCCGCAGCCCAGGCACATACCTCATTGACCCGGGTGAATCCTTGTTGAGTGAATTATAACTGACAATGCTCTCAATTAGGAAGACATCTCATTTTACAGACAAGCAACTGGAGAATTTTACAGACAAACCCCATGAGTGACCCAAGGTCATGTGCTAACTATGCTGTTTCAGTGACCGTGCTGGGACCAGGGTCGGTATGCCGGCCAGACGGAGACTGTTGTGTGTCCCTGCCCTGCACACGGCACGAATGCAGCCTCTCTTTGAGCTCTGCTGGAGGAGAAGTGGTCGGATCCGGGCACAGAACAATGGGAATGACAGCCTTAGCTAGCTACAAAGCTCTGGTGGGGGTGGTTTTGAGAGCGTAGCTGTAGTTGGTGATGCTGACCTGTGCCTTCCTCCCGCAGGGTGTCGTGGGAGGGGTCATGATCGTCACTCCTAACAATATCATGTTCGACCCTCACAAGTCGGATCCCTTGGTCATTGAAAATGGGTGTGAGGAGTATGGCCTCATCTGCCCCATGGAAGAGGTGGTGTCCATTGCTCTCTACAGCGACATCTCCCACATGAAGATCAAAGACGCCTTGCCCTCGTAAGACACGTTTCTTTGCTAACCAGAAAACAGAGGAGGGTATTGGGAGAAACAAAGGCAATTTAAAAATAAGGGCCTTTATACGAGTGGATGACTGGGCAGAGGCATTTCAAGTTGGAAAATTTACTTTCTCGTTTAAAATGAACTAGAAAAATGAGAGGAAACGAAATTAATAAAGTCAATGATAAGGAAAAGTTGAACATAAAACTTGATTCTCTTCTCCCTCACTCACTCCTAATTCCCTGTCTTTTCTCCTTCCCTTCCTCTTTCCCCTTTAAATTCCAGAATGGGCAGCCTCCTTAACCCTTGCCGTAGCTTGCGCTGCATAAACAGAGGTTTGCGTGGACAGGGCGTAGTGATGCCACATGCCCTCTAGCTAGACTCCCTCGTGCCAGGAGGGAGCACTAGTACACGGTGTTTCCTCTGAAGTCTAGGTGGCTGGTGCTGTAGTCCTGGTGACTTTGGCCTTACAAGGTGGTGTCTTAGGAAAAAGACAAAACTGCTCCCCGCGAAGAGAGTTTAGAAAGCTTGGAGAACTGCTCCATTCTTAAGGATAATCTGGTTTTATTGTCATTTTGTCAGAGTGTCTGTCTTTCTACATATTCCAGCCACAAAAATCTTTAGAAACCCTAGTGATTGGAAAGAAAAGGCAGAACAGTGGTCTCAACTGTATAAAGAGAGACATAATGATGTAGCTGTTAGGTGTTGGGCTGCTAACTGAAAAGTCAATAGTTCGAAACCACCAACCTGCTGCTCCTCGGGAGAAAGGTGAGGTTTTCCGTGTCTATAAAGAGTTACAGTCTCGGAAACCCACAGAAGCAGTTCTACCCTGTCCTGTATGGCCACTGTGATTCTGAATGGCAGTGAGTTTTTCATTTTGAAAATGGGAACTTTTCACTTGAAAAGAAGGAATGGTAACCAGGGAACTAACGGAAGAAAGTTCTAGAAGGTTAGTATCAGATCCACTCACTACTGCCCAACTCCAAGCCACTGAAGCTACTAGCAGAACACAGACACTGAGGTAATCTCTAAATTTTGCTGCCAGAATGTTCAAAGCAAGAGGTTAGGAAGCTGTATCACATGTGAATTGTGGCCAAAGCCAAACTGTCTGGGTTTCAGGGCCTTAATGTCTCCCTGACTTTACAGGAGTTGGGCATTCTCAAGCCTCACTTTCTGTCTCTTTTCAGTGGGATTCATAGTAACGCCCAGTTTCCAGGGTGGTGGTTGTGCAAACTAAATGAATCGGTATCTACAAAGCCCTTGAAGAACCTGGTACTCAGTGTACAGGCTGCCGTCATCAATATGAACCGTTAGTTCTTCAAGGAGCCCTGGCGGTTTAATGGTTACACACTGGAATATGATCCACAAGGTCAGCAGTTGTGAACCGCCAGCCAATCCTCGGAGAAAGATGGGACTTTCTACTCCCGTTAACACAGTCTCAGAAACTCACAGGAGCTGCCCTACCCTGCCCTGTAAGGTCACTATGATCGGCAGTGACTCAGTGGCAGTGAGTTCGGGTTTGTGTTGTTGTTGTTGTTAAATTTATCAAGAAAATGTGGAGTGCATTGAACCCTGAGAATCTTGTTGTGCCTGTGTGTTTGGGGCTTTGACTGCACTTCAGTGCATGCCCCTTTTGTGCCAAGGACATGAAGAGGAATAATATATCGTGACCCCTGCCCTTGAGGAGCTTACAGTTTTTGGGTGTGACAGACATACACACAGAAACAAGAGTCAAACCGCCCTGTAGCCATAGAAGTGTAGACGGAGAACTCAACTGACAGCAAGCACAATTGCCTGGCAGATTGTGGAAATCTGAAGAGAGGAAGAAGAGAGGAAGTGAAATGAGTTTCAGGGAAGATGGTGAACACTGTTTTCTGCAACAAAATGAGAGAAGATAAAGAATCTTCTAAAGATACCCCAACTCCAAACTCACTGCTGTCTGGTCGATGCCAACTCATAGCAGCTCTGTACGCAGGGCTGAACTGCCCCTGCGAGTTTCCAAAACGGTCTTCTTGACAGGAGGAGAAAACTCTTGTCTTTCTCCCTCAGAGAGGCGGGTGGTTTCAAACTGCTGACTTCGCAGTTAGCAGCCAAATGACTAACCACTATACCACCAGGGCTCCTAAGGAAAGATATTGATAAGTTTATAAGTGGATGGCTGAACAAATGGCATGGTTTTTTTTATTATCTTTTTCTGATAGTTGTTTTTAGTAGAGTAACAGTAGTGCCCATCTTCAGGTCTTACATATTCTATCTAATACTAGAAAATACATCTCTACAAAACACCTCTCTCAATGTGAGATTATGGTTAATGATCTGGAAATAGGAGCGAGGCTGTGACTGGAGGGAGAGAGGCGACTTAAGAACTGGCTCCAATTTTGGTGACATGATTTCAGGTGGGCACTGATTCTTGATTTGAATGCCACTATTAAAGAAATTGTAGTCTCATGAGCACTGTGTGCACAAGTGGAAAACTAGCCTGGGCATTGTGATTTGTGTTCAGAATTTCATCAGTTGTAGAAAGTTTTTAAAATTGCCTTAAATTTAATTATTACTAAAAGTCATGTGATATAGTAATAAGTACAATGTATTTGGAAGTGTGTGTGTGTGTGTGTGTGTGTGTGTGTGTGTGTGTAATCTCTCCACCCTCACTTTAAGGTTTTGTATGGTGTAGGTCATGTTTTAATTGCAGCTGCAACCAAACATAAGTAGGGAACTGAGGGATAGTTGATCATCACTGGGTGCTGCTAAGTGTTTTGTTGTTGTCGTTGTTAGGGGCCATCAAGTTGATCTCGATTCCTAACGACCCCATTTTCAACAGAAGGAAACCCTGCCCGGTCCTGGGCATGTTGGAACCCATTGTAGCAGCCACTGTGTCAACCTGGCTCACTGAGGGCCTTCCTCCATTCTGCTGACAGACAAGGAGTGACAGCCAAGTGTAGAAAGCGTCCACTAGCAGCAGAGCCAGTAGCCACCGTTATATAGTCTGCCATTACATAATCTGCCTCAGCAAAGCGTGGCAGCTGATGTGCACAGAAAAATGAGGAAATGAATCCTGGGTAGAGAATTGGAAATTGGATCAAGCAGAACAAGAGGGATCGTGCACAGAAGGTCATGTAGGTAGCTGATTGGAGGGCTGTTGAATGGGTTCTCAGAGGCAGAGAGCGAGGCAGGGGAGGAACAGAGATAGAAAGGACTTGAGTGTTCAGGAGAGAAAATGCAGCTTAGTCAGGAAGTCTGGGGGAAAGTGGATTTCTTAGTTGCAAGACTTTTTCTGGACTTTAAGATGTCAAATTAAAATGTGAGCCCCAATGTGGAAGTCAAACCACATTGCATTAGCTTGGTTGACCCTAAAATGAGTGATTGCTGTCATTAACATCCTCTGAGATGCTCATGTTGGAGGAAACATTGTGTCCCTACTGCTCCAGGTACTTGCAACATTCCTGCAGAACAAACAGAAAACATGATCACAATCATCCTTCAGCACGTGGCATTTAGGAGCTGAGTGAATTCGTGTTGAACTGAAACAAATTATGAATTAAAGAGGCCTTTTAAAGCATTTGTCAGAATCTTAACAATTATGCAGGCTTTTATTTCTTATTAGAAAAAGCATAAATGTGACATGCTAGTGATTTATAAAATAGCTTGAAGGAGACAGTCTCCTTGTCATTTAAGAACTGCCTGGAACAACGTAATAGGGAAGGTACAGCTTGAATATGAGATCATCGTTTTAAAACATAAAATTATTTCTGAAATTGATATTTAAAAAAAGATTTCTGTGTTAATCCAATAGGGGCACCCAAAAAGGAGACAATATGAGGTTTTGTTAAAAGTCTCAGCTTTAAAAAATACGTATTTTGTGACAAACTATTCAATATTGTTTTGAAATTTAAATCTTGGTAGCGAAGCACCTGTCATTCATATGTTTTAGCTGATAAACCAGTTTACTTTTCTGTAGATTAAAAAAAATTGTTTTCCAAGTGGAAAACACACTGAACATACATGGAGAGCTAGATAAAGTTAAACTCATCGAATATTACCTTAATAATGGTACAAGTGTATATTTTTGTAATTGGTGCTATAGTTACATAAATGGTTTTTGCAGTTTCTTTGGAGATGGGAGGATGTTTGTTATTGAAAACATTAGGCACTAAGCCATGAAAACCAAAATAAAAATTCAGGGTCAGCCTCTAGACCTAGAGAATTTAAATAGAGTATTTAAATTAGTAGTTGCTAAGTAAATGTGCCATTCAGAATTAATGTAGTTGCTCTATAGATTTTTATGAAAAGGAAAAGCTTGAATATTTAAGGAATTTTAGCTACTGGTACTAAAATACATTCTCTCCTTTGTCTTTTCCTTCTTAAAAATCAGAAACATTATTATTTCATCTTTAAAAGTCTGGTGGTTGACATGTCCATATTCATACCTGACTTCAGAAACCATTCCATCTTGCTTCCAGTAGATTTGCAACATCATGATTCTTTCTTTTGCTGTTTCTTTAGTTGACTCATGTGGTGGTGTTTTTTTAAGTCAATTTATTGATTTTGTTTCCCTATTCTGAAATAATTTAAGCATAAATTTAAGTTGCAGCATATTTATATTTTGGTTGAGTTTTGTTTTTTGCCTTTCCTCCATTTTATTTTCAGTTTTGTTTTTAACATTCCATGTGCACCCACCATTTTTCCCCAACAGTGACCTACCTCAGGATCTTTGTCCTCTGTACAGGCCTGGAGAATGGGAAGACCTGGCTTCTGAAAAGGATATCAATCCCTTCAGTAAGTTCAAATCTCTCAACAAGGAGAAACGGCCGCAGAATGGAGAGAGAACCATCAGTACAGGTTCCCAATCAGCAAAAACTTGGGACAAGGCATCTGATGACGCACATACAAAGCCCTTGGACAGCCCTTTGCCCGGAAAGTTAAAGAAACTGGAATCTTCTATAGAGGCAACCAACAGATCTACCCCAGTGACCTGGGTGAGCAAGGGACTTCCTGAGACAGCATTTGAATCTAAAGCCAAAGAAAACGCCCATTTAGTGGAAGATGATGACTTTGTTGACTTGGAAGAACTTTCTTTTCAAACTGATAGTGGGTTGGCCAAAGGAGACAATGCCAAGGAGTGTGTTGACCCAAGGGATTTAAGGAAAGCTAAGTCAAAAGTCATCAGTTCTGCTGTAGAAGGGCAGCTGCAGTCAGTTCTGAATGTTTCGGGAACAGAGGGTGGTGCTGAACTGAAGGGAGCCCTAGATTTAGAAGCCTGTGAGAAGCAAGATATAATGCCAGAAGTGGACAAGCAGTCCGGGTCCCCAGAGAGCCAAGTGGAAAACACACTGAACATACACGAAGAGCTAGATAAAGTTAAACTCATCGAATATTACCTTAATAAGAACAAAGAAGTTTCACCGTTACCTGAAAATGTACAGAAAGCAGGATTAAGTGATGACAAAAACATTGAGCCCGTAGGAGTAGACGTCACTCTTAGTAGCTCTCTTCCCCAGACACGTGACCCCTCAACTGAGGGCAAGGAAGAGCTGGATAAAATCAGCCCATCCCTTCCACTGCAACTAGAACCTTCTGCAGAAGAAAACGAGTTTAAGGAGTCTCTAGATTCCTCTTTGGAATCGTCTCTGGATAAAAGCTGCCGTGGTGCACAAATGGATAATAAATCTGAAATTCAGCTGTGGCTATTAAAGAGAATCCAGGTACCCATTGAAGGTAAGCCAGTTTTCTTAAATCCTAGAAATCTGTTGTATGATTACCTTTCCAAAACTTGCATATGCAATAGCAGTAAAATTATTTTAGAACACAGACATTGGTCAATGTAAGACATGAAAAAATGATAATAATTTATAAATTATCAAGGGTAGGGTGAGGGAAGCAGGAGATAAAATGAAGAGCTGATACCAAGGGCTCACGTAGAAAGAAAATGTCCTGAAAATGATGATGGCAACATATGTACAAATGTGCTTGACACAATGGATGGATGAGTGGATGGATTGTGATAAGAGTTGTACGAGCCCCCAATAAAGTGATTTTAAAAAAGAAAAAGAACACGGTTGTAGCAATTATACTTGATATGATTGAACTATGGAATGATATAATATATGTATTAACTCCCAATACAATTTGGGGGAAATAAATAAATAAATGGGGGAAACTAGCAATATTTGATACCTGTTGCAGTGGCACTGTAATACTGAACCGTCAGCCACAAGGTTGGCTGTTTAAAGCCACCAACTTCTCAGAGAAGGAAAGATGAGACTGTCCAAAGGGTTACAGCCTCAGAAACCTACTATACAGTTGCTAAGAGTCAGAATTGACTAGATGTCAGTGGGTTTTTTTTCTTCCTTTTTTTGTATTATAGTACTTGATCTATAATACTTTTTTAAAGGTATAGTTTGGATTTTAAAGAAATCTTTTAAGTGACTTTTTTTTAAATCATGGATTTGCAATGCTGAACTAGTTTAAAATTGTTTTCTGGATATTTCAGTTCTCTACTGAATTGCACTGTAGTGTGATTGGATCTTCAGGACCAGTCATTAATATGAATGGATCTTCAGTATCCTTCATTCAGGGAGATCATAAATCTCCACTTCTTGTTCTTTGTAGTGATTTCCAATGTGTAATTTCTCACCGAAGCATTCAAAGTTCTTCCCTTTTGTGCTAAAGAAAGTCTGGAAAATGCAATCAACCTTAGTGAGATGTGGTCACGTGATGCTCCTCCCACTCTGTTTTATCCTTCAGCACCAAGAAGGGATTCGACCCTATTCTTGATAACTTGAAAAACTTCCATGTCACCCAATTTGTCAATATTAAAGACAGCTCTTTTATGTATGATTCAGATATACTTCCTTCAAAAGAGGAGAAAAGCAAGACTCCTCCCATGTTTCTGTGCATCAAGGTGGGAAAACCAATGAGAAAATCCTTTGCCACCCACACTGCCGCCCTGGCCCAGCAGTACGGCCGACGAAGGAAGCAGCCAGAGTACTGGTTCGCTGTTCCTCGAGAGAG